ATGCTTTACTTAGTTAGGATCAGCATGTGTACCTGCTCTTTCCTATTCTGCTGTTTTCACTTAACATTATTTCACATTGTGGTTTCTACCCACACAGTGCACATAATTGCCATCTTTAATGGCTATGTAACATTCCATTGTATTGAATAGCATGCCAGTTCTTAGGACTGGGCTCATTTTGCTCAGAAGACCTAAAGGCCTGCTGTCTTTTAGCACCAGAAGTCTATTTTAGTTCCTGGAAGTGGTGACTAGCATAAGTGTGGGATCGCGTGGGATTCCTGAGTCATCAGCACACAGCACAGCCTGAGTGCTTCGTTAACATTGCTGTGCCCACTACCTGGCAGCAGAGCCTTCCTCAGTTCCCTGGACCTGATCTGGGAACTTCCTGGGAAGTACAAGCCCTGATTGATTCCCATGACCCTGAGCTGATGTTATCTATATGCCAACAGCAGAGAGTATATACTGCTTTCTCCATCGCCTGAGATAACAGCTCCACTTGTGTTTCCCACAGAGCTTGACGTGAAAGAAAAGGCAAGGGAAGTGGAAATATAAATTATTAGTATCACAGCTGAAGGAATAAAACACAGGTCGGGGTGCAATGGCTATAGTTCTTCTGGGTACACCTATGAAAATGAAGTAAGATGAGGGGATGATTCAAGTCCTGGAAAGTTGGATGATAGCTCTTATTCTCCACACCCCTTCCTGTCAGAAATTCAAGTTTTGGTCTCCCAATAAAGTGTTTACAGGGTTGAGTAACAAAGCAGTGAGTCCAGGCTTGACTCTTCTCCCAGCCATGGCCAGTGGCATCTTAATGATTAAGAATACTAGTTGGCAGGATTCTCCTGCCCAAGGAGACTGGTGTTGTGTTCAGTATACTTGAGTATTACATCTTACCAGTGGCAACTGCCTTGAAAATGAATGATTTTGAGGAGGTTACTAGGAGAGAATAGTGATATTCAAAACACAACTGGTATGGCCCAAGCACCAACACTCGCATCTCTGGGGGATTTATAGCTGGGTTAGCTACTGCTGGTTTCCATCCTTCAACCCTGAATGATCACTGTTCTTTGTCTACCTTTGTTGTGTGCTAACTATATGACACATGTCCTGTAGATCATAGACTCCTTAGCAACCCTGCTGACAGGATACTACTGGCGAGTAGATACAACACGTGAATGAAGAATGGGAACTGGAGTGCAGGAGTTGGAAACCATTTGCAGCAGAAAGACTCTTCTACCTATTCATAGTGAATTCTCAGAAAGCCCAGGTCTGTCTTGAAAGATTAAATGGACAAATACTCAGAGCCATGTGGGCCTTGCTGAATGATGAGCCAGGGTCATTCATATGCCGGAAGTGCCTGTGACAGGTGCTAGACTCTAAAAGTCCTGGAGAGAGGCTAAGACATTGACAACTAAAGAAGAGAACCCCAGGGTAACCACTTGCCTTTAAGAAAATTTGCCCTCTGGGCTCGAGAAACTATCCTTATTTTGGTCTCTATGCTGAGATATAGATTTATAAAGCCTCTTTGACAGATTTAGCATTCTCAAAGACAAAGATATGGGAGGCAATGGTTGTAATACCCTAGATTCTCCATGCTCTTTGTACTTTAGAATCACCCTTTGGGTTGTTCTCTACAGAAAAGGGGAAAGGGAACACCCTTCTCCCAGAATGGGGGATATAGTTTTCAAATAACCTGAGCAAGCTTCTCACCTAAATCATAATAATGGTAGCTAACATTTAATGAGCTACTTAGGATATGCTACACACTATGCTAAACATTTTTGTATGGATTGTCCCCCTTAAACTTCACAACAGACCTGTAAAGTAGGCAGTTTTTCCTATCTTCACTGGGGGATATTGCCAAGTCACCCAGCTTGATGAGGGGTTTGGAAAGTACATTAATAGCCTGTAGCAACAAAATTAAGATTCACTCAAAAAAGATATTTTTTCCAGTATACCCTGAATAAGGGTATACTGGCTGTATTAGGGGAGTGTTCTTTAAATAAGTTTTTGTGATTGACAGATACTGTGTAGGAAAATTTGGTTGATACCCAGGAACACATGCACTGCACAAGGGGAATGTGCCAATATACTGAAATTCAGTTTTATTAGAGGTCGTTCAACCTAAATTCTCCACTCAGTTCACGTTCATAGGATACACTTCCACCTCCCTTGCCCATCTTCTTCAATAGAGGTAATTGCTGCATCCTCTGGTGAGAATGATTGTAAGCAGAATGCTCCCGTGATATTAATTGGGCGAACTGGAGGAAAGGATGTGGGCTGAGCAGCCGAGGAAGACCCAAGGAAGATGCAGTATTTTCGGAGAGGGTAGAGTACTGGCTTGGGCACACAGGAGATCTGCATTTAGGAGCAGCTCTACCAGCGATCGGCTGTACCGTCGTAGGCAAGTCGTAATCTCTCTGTACCCCAAGTTCCTCATCTGTATAACAAGAGGGGTTGGACAAGAGGCTCTGTAAGGTTCCTTCCAGCTCCATGGCTAATAAGCTGACCCTCAAGCAGAGTTGTGTCAAAGACCCATAAGGTGCTTGGGGTGGTTCCCTTGAAGATAGGAGCAAATAATACAGTCTTAGACAGTATCAGACCTTCCAGATGGGGTTGTGAGATGGATCTTTTTGTGTAAGATTTCTGTCCCTCATAAACAATTATTGGTTAGTTGGTTTATACTGTTTGGTGAGATGATATAGGGTAGAGCTAAGAGCATGGGTTATGGAGTTGGACCTTAGTTTGAAAATCAGTTCTGCCACCTCCTCATGGATGCCCTGGACAAATTATTTACCTCTCAGAACATCAGTTTCTGCCTCTGTAAGATGGTGATAATAGAATTGACTTCACAGGCTTGTGAGGATGAAAGGCAATGATATATATAAAGCACTTAGCCCAGCACCTGGCAAAATGGAAGTAAGTGCTCAATCAACTGTGTCTGCTACAACTACTGATGCGCCGATTGATATTAATATAATTCTCCTGACAGGATCCCCTTCAGCATTTTTTCCTGGATATAGCTTTCTTTTTCTGGATAGAGTTTGAGAAAAACATAAGTGGATTTTTCTGGCCTAAAGTAGATCTAGAGTCACACAGATCTGGATTCAGTTCCTTGCTCTACTTTTTTTCACCTCACCAAAATTGTTCTTTTAAATTTTATTTTTTATTGATATATAATAGATATATATTTTTTCAGGATACATGTGATAATTTAATACATTCATATAACTTGTAAAGATCAAGTCAGTGGGGGGGGCAAGGGCAACATACGTAACCTAAACATCTGTACCCCCATAATATGCTGGAAAAAAAAAAGATCAAGTCAGTGTAATTGGGATATTTATCACCTTGAATATTTGTATTTCTTTATGATAGAAACATTCAAATCATTCTCTTCTAGCTATTTTGAAATATACAATAGACTATTGTGTAAGCTATAGTCACCCTACTAATCTGTTTAACACTGGGTGTTATTTCTTCTATCAAAACTGTATTATTTGTACCCATCAACTTCTCTTCATCCCCCCCCCCACCCTTCCCGGCCTCTGCTAACCACCAATCTACTCTCTATCTTCATGAGATCCACTTTTGTTACTCCCACATATGAGTGAGAACATCCTGCTTTGCTTTTTACAGGTGGTGGGACCTCGGGCAAGTAACTTAACTTCCCTTCCCTATAGTTTCCCCATCTACAAAATGCAATCAGGTATAGTGCCTACCTCCAAGCATTGTTTGTTGTGAATAAGATAATGGATGGGAAAAACTTAGTATTGTGCCTGGCATCCAGAAGGCACTCAATAAATGCTGACTTGTGGTACTCACGGTGAAAGTAATACAAATCGAGTATTCATAATCCAAAATCCAAAATGCTCCAAAATTCAAAACTTTTTGAATACTGACATGACACTCAAAAGGAAATGCTCATTGGACCATTTTGGATTTTCGGATTAGGAATGCTCAACTGCTAAGTTTATATAATGCAAATATTCCAAAATCTAAAATCCAAACCACTTTTGGTCCCAAGCATTTCAGATAAGGGATACTCAATTTGTAGTAGTAGTAAATAGTAAATAACTATCACCACTACCACTTTTGGGATAGAGGGTTGAATGCATTCAAGCTCCTACAGTTTTTACACACCTAGCCAAAGTGTTAGGAGAGGCAGCAGTTGCTGTTCCTGAAGGGACAGCAAAGCAATTGTTCCTCAGCTTCACAGACAGTGGCTGGGACTTTAAAACCTAGTTGTTTTTGGAGGTGACTGAAAATGACTCGGTAGAGCATAATTCTCAGCAAAGAAGTTCTATTTATTTTTGCCAGTCCCTTCACACCTAAGAACCTTAAAGGAAAAAAAAATGTATTTCTAAATGAACCCTGTACTTCTAAGGCTTAATTTTGGTTGGTCAACCACGGCCTATTGTCTGCAGGCTTCATCAGGAGCATCTGAGCACAAAGATGTAAAGTCTCTGTTCTTCTTTTCCAAGATTCTCTTCATTCTCAGATGGAGGCACCTAACTTTTCTTGAGCCTCTCAGTGAGCATAGAGTTAATTTGATGGCTGGAACATAGGTATACAGGAACAATGGGGGTTCTCAGGGATGTGATGTTAGAGTAGGTAGAGTTGTAGGGGGACTGTAGAGATGTTATCAGATAGAAATTAGAAAACTAAGTAGTCCTGATGGTTCTGGAGTTCAACCCATTTGCTGAGGGAGGGATATTAGATGTGTCTTTTGATTTCCCTCCATTTTTCTCTTTAGCTGTCTGTTAAAAGTAAAAAGAGAAAGAAAATGGCCAGTCACTGCAAGTGAAGCCAAGTGCCAGATTTCTTGTCCTTCCCAGACCACGTCAGGGTAGGAGGGTGTTGGCCAGTTTCAAAAGGGGTGTAGACTCTACCCCTCGAGGCGCCCACTCTCTGCCCCAGCCTCATACTTTCTCTCACTCTTGCTCTCTCCCCTTTGCCCTTCATTTAATGAATACTAACCGTAGGAACAAAAGTCGCCTTCACAGATACTTTCCAGTAACGTCTTCTTCGTATCCCAGGTATCCGTTCTCTTTTTTGCCCTGAATTCTGAGATTACATAGAAATGAAAATGGATTTCAGTTTTAGACAGAGAATTGGGAACGTTTCGAAAAACATTTCCTCTTTTCTTTTACCAAATTCCTTCTACTCAACTCTCATCCCCACTCCCTGTCCCCAGAGTAGTGGCCCTGGCCAAGTCCAAACCCCTCCATGTAGGTCTAACAATCTACGGCTCCAGGGTAGCCTGAAAGACTATATTCCTTTCAGAGCTGAGGTTACATTATAATATTGACAGTTGACAATCTGGGAGACTAGAGTCCTGAGGAACACTGAGAAAGAGTGGCCGTTAACAGCAGTGAACCTTCAAGCCCTCACAGCTTTTTTAAAAAAATGTTTTTATTGTATTGGGAAAAATGACATCTGCTTATTATAAAAAAGAAAATTTCCAATAAAAAATCCAAAGGAAAGGCACCTAGGCCTTTTAATTCTCAAAATCACCTGGTATCTCACCCCTCAAGAAAACCACTGCTGGCCGGGCACGGTGGCTCACCCCTGTAATCCTAGCACTGTGGGAAGCCGAGGCGGGTTGATCGCTCAAGGTCAGGAGTTCGAAACCAGCCTGAGCAAGAGCGAGACCCCGTCTCTGCTAAAAATAGAAAGAAATTATCTGGACAACTAAAAATATATATATATATATACTTAGCCGGGCATGGTGGCGCATGCCTGTAGTCCCAGCTACCTGGGAGGCTGAGGCAGGAGGATCGCTTGAGCCCAGGAGTTTGAGGTTGCTGTGAGCTAGGATGACGCCACGGCACTCTAGCCTGGGCAACACAGTGAGACTCTGTCTCAAAAAAAAAAGAAAAGAAAACCACTGCTCATATTTTGGTGATATCCTTCCAGATACCTCTATACACGAATATACATCACACTGTACAATAGCAACTCTAAGTTGCTATTTTCCCTAACAAAATGCCAGGTTGTAGAAAACTTTCCATGTCAGTAAATATAAGTTAACACTAACCTTCTTAATGTCTGCATAGTATTTCACTGTGTGGCTACATTGTAATTTATTTAGCCATTCCCCATTGTTGGACATTTAGGTTGTTTCCTGCTTTTAGCTACTGCACATAACGCTGTGATTGAAAATCCTTGGGAATACTTTTTTGGAGTACTTACATAGTTATCTTTGTGGGTTTTTTATTTTTTTAATTTTTAAATTTTTATTTATTTGTTAATTTTTTAGAGACAGCGCCTCACTCTGTTGCCCAGACTGGAGTACAGTGGCCTGATTGTAGCTCATTGCAGCCTCGAACTCATAGTCTCAAGAGATCCTCCTGCCTCAGCTTCCCGAGTAGCTGGGACTACCAGCACATGCTATCACGCCTGGCTACTTTTTAAAATTTTTTTGTAAAGATAGGGTCTCACTATATTGTCCAGGCTGATCTCAAACTCCTGGTCTCAAGAGATCCTCCTGCATCAGCCTCCGAGAGTGCTAGGATTATAGGTGTGAGCTACTGCACCTGGCCTGTGATTAACTTTGGATGCAGCTCAAGAAGTGAGATTACTGGCTTAAAACATATTCACATTTTTAAAGTTCTTGATGTGTAGATTGAGAAAGAGAAGGAAGGAGGGAGATAGCCAAACTACCCTCCATAAATGTTGTGCCAGTTTGTACTTCTGCCACTGGAAATCATAGCCTTTAAGATAACCCTATAGTCATCTAAAGATCTTGTGTCAACTAGTGATGGGGTATCATACTGGGCTACCAGAAAGTGGTCCCCAAGCACTCTCCCTGTATTCTTTTCTTAACCACCAACCATAGTGTGTAAAAAGAATTTCAGGCTCAAAATTGGAATACTATTATAGAAATTGTGAGGGACGGCCTATGTATCTTCTCTAAGCACTGACCCAACATTGCCTTCAAAAAGATTACCGTCATTATACAGAGCTGGAGTCTGTAGGTCTTTGCATCGATTATAGCAAAGCTCAGTAGTCCTTTTAGCTCTATTTTTCCCAGAACATTCACCTTCCTTCGTGGGTTCATCTATAGCAAATGTTACTGATGTATTCTTTTTAATCCTGAATCTTATGCCTTCTTTCTGTACAGCAAGAAGATGGGGAGGAGGGAGAGTAAGTTGGTGTCCAAGAGTTCAGGGATTGGTCCCTGGGCATTAACATTTAAAGAACCGTTTACCTGTAGGATTGACTTTAGGGGCCTAGCTTCCATTGATTGTTGTCCTAGATGCTGTCTTTTCTCTTTGGATATTCTCATTCTGGTACAGATGCTGGGGAAGATGGAGAGGACACAGCAGTAGTAGAAACAGACACACTTTAAGCTTCTTTATTTATTGCAGCTACTACCCCATCCCTGCCATATGCTTTTGGGCAATGACAGTGACAACAGAGCAAGAGGACATTTAGGCCTTTCACTCCTCAAAACCTTGATCACCTTCTGTTTTCTTTTTCCTCTTTTCAACATTTCTGTCCTCATTATCGGGAGGATCAGAGAACTAGAGGCTGAGAATGTGGACCAGTTCCATGACATTAATCTATAGAATAATGCCAGTGGGCTCCTTCAGGGGCTCATCTTCCTTTTCTCCTCCACGTGGCAAATCAGAGAATAAAGCCCTGTTTTAGAGAAGCTCTAATGCTGATAGGTTGGCTTTACCTTTATGAAACTCATGCCACTCACATGACCACTCCAGTTGTGCCAGCGATGGGGTATGCACAACAATAGTGGAACGTTAGTGAGTACTGTCCTAGCCCCATTTGGGCCAACTGATGTTGAGAGACTTGCTCAGCGCCACTCAGAATCCAAGCATCTACCAGAACTCCCTGCTTATGTGGAAGATTGACTCCTACTTCTATTCTTATCAGCAAGTCTAACAGAGGCACCTCAGTACCTGTGTGATGAGCATCTTTCTCCACATCTTTGGGAATGCCTGGAGGTTGGGATGCTTGAGGTGGGTGGTTCTTGGCGAGTACATAGCTCTTCATGTTTGTCTTTAATGACAGCTAATAGCCAGCGCAGCCCTGTAATTATGGGTTGATAGTTCCTCCTTGGGAGATGTTGGATGGCTGAACATGGCTCCTGTGACAAAAAAAGAGAAGAGAAGGCTTCAGACCTGGAGCCTGGGACCCCTGAGGCCCACAGGCTCAACCACAGTCATCCAAAGAGCAGAGGTACACGTAAGCTCCGCTGTGCCTAGAGAGGCTCTGAGATTTCCTAGGAGGCACTAAGTGGTCACCCCTGAGGAGGTAAATGAAAGACATAAAAGCTGAGGTCCTTTAATAAACTGGTTGTGGTGTCTTGGATGTATGACCTTGAGCAAGTCACTTAGGGTCTCTGAGACTTAGCTTTTTTATCCATAAAATGGGGATGTTAAAACGTCTAACTTCACAGAACTATTTTGAAGGTAGAATGCAATACTTGTTATCGCCATCAAGTCAGAAATCATCACTGTATATGTTGTTTGGTAGGCAGAGACCATGCCCCAAACTCAGCATATGGGGCTGATTATGGAAGGGGCCAAGGGCTGTCTCAGCTGGGCTCTAGAAGAAGAGGGAAGGAAGGGGTTGACAACTTACCACTCTGCACAGGGAATCATACTCATTCACTAGCCTTTCCAGGAGTAGATATTGAATAATATCACGAGGTAGGAGGGCATTCTTCTTGTCTTGTTTGTTTGCCAGGCTAGAACAGGGAATATGAGAGAGAGAGAGAGAGAGAGAGAGAGAGAGAGAGAGAGAGAGAGAGAGAGAAGGAAAGAGAGAATATATGAATGAATTTCTACTGGGATATGAACAGATTTGGAGTTTTTATATCCTCTCCCAAACTCTGTTCAAGGTCTAGTTGGAGTTGCTAATGAGGAATGAAAAAGGGATTTGGGCTGGGGGGCGGTGAGAATTGACTGGCCACCTGAATTGTCACGCTGAAATAAGTACTGATTATGTAACTCTTGAGCAATTAGCTCAGAGAAGAGGCCACTGGCATTGATTATACAAAATAGGGGTTGTTCTCTGCCACCGTGAAGTCTCAGGATCAGAGACTGAAACTAGAAAAGATTAGAAGAAAGTTCAGGAAGACAGTCTTGAGGAAGGAATGGGGGTGGTAGATCCAGATATCACTTTCCATTCCGCTTTGATGCTTACTTTCAAATTTACCTTTGTACAATTAGGTAGCATGTCCCCCATGGCAATGTGTGGTAGAAAGTGGCTCTTGAAAACAGCCTCCAGAGGGCTGGGCCACTCCACCTCACTGAGCCTAAGGGAACAGGAGGTCTGGCTGGGTGTGACAAAGGGACCACCCGGCCCTTCATTTCTATACTTAAGATACAAATTGGGAAGGAAAAATAGTACACAAAGGCAGAATCTTACAGTAAGATGGGTTTCCCTGCCACTCTCTTATCAGACAGCAGACGTGTTAAGATGATCTTGGCTTCCTGCATGCGTCCCATGTCGCTGGAATCCAGGACAAAAACAAACCCATGTGCCCGTGTATAGTAGTTGGGCCACGTTTCTCGGCCTTTCCAATCTCCATTCAGGTCATAGATGGAAACTTTACATTCATCTAACAGGAGTGTAGTCAGTCCTGATTGCGTACATTTGTATGTCCTCCGAGGAAGTACTATGCATAGGGGGAGAGAGAAGAAGCAATCACAAAGCAGGGAAATGTAGTTAGATCAAAGAATTTGTTGAACCTTGACTAGAGCCTGCTCTGAGAAATCCTTCTGAGCATCCTCCCACCCTGCTCATACTCACGGATTCATCTTCCTAAACCACTGCTTTGCCCATGCTTCCCTCTTCTGGCTCAGTAACTTTAAGCGAGTGCCCACTGCTCCCAGATAGAAGACAGACTCTGTTGCCTCCTAACCTGGCAGACCCATCTTCTAACACTCTAACCTGACTGGTGGCCACACTGTCCCTGGTACACACCCAGTCTGTTCCTCCCTCTACTCCTTTGCCCCCATTCTACATGAATGCCATGCTCTTTCTTGCCTTGGACCTTCACAATATGTCATTCCCTCCACTTAGAGCACTCTTCTACTACTCTTTGCTTGTTTAACCCCTATTTTTTAAAATATCATTTTCAACCTTGTTTATTCTAGAAAGTTTTCCCACACACCCACCATCCCCAGTCTGGATAAGGTAGCCTATCTTCGGGGCTTACCATTATCATAGTATATAGTACAGTGTTATAAATTCTAGGGTTTACTTATCTGGGTTATAAACTGTAACAGGGCAGGAGCCCTTTCAGTTTTATTCATGATGCCTAGCACAGCAACTGGCATGCAGATACTTAATTTAGATATCTCCCCCCAAATCTCTCTCTCCCTCTCCCTCCCTTTCTCCCTCCCTCCCTCTCTTTCTCACTTTCTGTCTCCCTCCCTCCCTCTCTTCCTCTCCCTCCCTCCTTTCCTTCCTCTCCTTCCCTCCCTTCCTTCCTCTCCTTCTCCCTCTCCCTGTTTCTCTCTCTCTCCCTGTCTCTCAAACTGGCCCTTCACCTCTTTCTGTGCTTGCCTTGTCTCCCCAGTATAAGCAATCTGAGGGAGGGCCTCTGTATTACCTAACACACAGTAGGTGTTCAATAAATGTTTACGGTGGCTATTAACTGTGGATGAGGGTATGAAGTCGTCTTCCACATATCTCTTCCAAAAAACCATGCCAGACTCAGGCACATTTTCCCATTAAAAGCTGTGGCCAGAACATAAAATCCCATAGGGCATTCTATACCTCATTCAGCTCCCATAGAAAAGCAGTTCAAAATGACAGTTTTTTTACACATTCCAGACTGTTGAACTGACTGTTCTGACCTAGCTCTCTTCCCACCTTAGGAGAAAAATGATTTTATAGGTTCTCTACACCCATATCTGGGAGTACTAAGACCAAAATCAGTAACTTCTTGTGGTCTCAGATTTGCCTGTGACATTTTCCATAGGATTGCCAAAATGAGTCGTTAAGCTGAGAAGTTAGTAATATGTTTTCAGATCTTTGGAAATGTATGATTACACTCACTCTTATGAATATACATATATGTGTGTGTGTATATATGTATATATTATCATTATGTTTTAATGTGATTTTATAAACACTTGGTATCATGTTAGTCAATCATCTTTTTAATTATAGCTTTCAGATAACATATAATTTTCGGTCAATTTTGACACGATACTTGCTATATATTAGACTACTTAAAAATAATAACTGAAGGGCCGGGCGCGGTGGCTCACGCCTGTAATCCTAGCACTCTGGGAGGCCAAAAGAGGCGGGAGGATCGCTCAAGGTCAGGAGTTCAAGACCAGCCTGAACAAGAGCGAGACCCCTTCTCTACTAAAAATAGAAAGAAATTATCTGGACAACTAAAATTATATATATAGAAAAAATTAGCCGGGCATGGTGGCACATGCCTGTAGTCCCAGCTACTCGGGAGGCTGGCAGGAGGATCGCTTGAGCCCAGGAGTTTGAGGTTGCTGTGAGCTAGGCTGACGCCACAGCACTCTAGCCCGGGCAACAGAGCCAGACTCTGTCTCAAAAAAAAAATAATAATAATAAGTGAAGGGCCGGGCACAGTGGCTCACGCCTATAATCCTAGCACTGTGGGCCAAGGCCGGAGGATTGCTTGACCTCAGGAGTTTGAGACCAGCCTGAGCAAAAGACCCCATCTCTGCTAAAAATAGAAATAAATTAGCCAGGCTTGGTGGCACATGCCTGTAGTCCCAGCTACTCCTGATGCTGAGGCAGGAGGATCACTTGAGCCCAGGAGCTTGAGGTTGTGGTGAGCTGTGGATGACACCACTGCACTCTACCCAGTGCAACCAATTGAGACTCCATCTCAAGAAAAATAATAATAAGTGAATAGGTTAAAACTCTAAAGGTAATTTTAAAATTTTGTTTTCTGCATTGAGACAAGCTTTATATTATTTTTTTCCCTGTCAGAGAAAACAACATTTTCCCTAGTTTTCTTTTTCTTTCTACTGGAAAACCTTACCAGTTCCTCAGTAATGCAGTCCGGTTTTGGTGAACCCTAGATGCCATGAGCAGTTGGTCCCTGACAATTTACATTTCTCTTATTTTCTCTGTTAATTTATAAACACCCTGAGGACAGGTATTGTATCTAATTCATCTCTATATCCCTAGCAGAGTGTTTCATAAAGCATGGTCTGGGGACCACATGCTTCAGAGTTACATGGGGGTGATTGTTAAGGCCTACCCTAGACCAAATCAACTGAAATCTCTAGGCTTGGGATCCAAGCGTTTGCATGTTTAACAACCTCCCTATAGTTAACAAAATCCTAGGTGATTCTTCTGCACTTTAAAGTTTGGGTACTACTGCCCGAGAGAGCCAGGAAACTCATGCCTGGTTGTGTCTCAGCATCATCTTAACAGCATCTCAGCTTGTTAAGATATAGCTTCCATGGGGCCTCTCCAGACCAAAGCATTTGAATCTCCATGTCCAGGATAAGTAGGTTTGAAAGCTCCCCAGGTGATTCTAGTCATTGGTTCTCAGTAGTCACTGTTCTCCATGATCACCTGTGGAGCTTTTTAGACCTATGACGCTAGGCCTCATTCTCTGAGGGTCTGATTCCATAGATCTTGGGTGGGGCTCAAGAATCATGTTTTTTTAAAAAGCCACCCAGGTGATTGAAATGTATAGCTGGTTTGAGAGGTACTAGTCTAAATGTCCTCATTTAGGGCACCTGCTTGAGCTCACGCTTGGGTTTCTTGCCCCACGTGACCATGTCAGGCAAAACATTTATAGTGAATGATGTCATCAATAATAATGGTTTGTGTGCCAACATATGTTTTAGCTGGCATCTTCAAATGTTCACACAAGCTACTACTTGTAGATTGGAACTTCCTTCCCAGGCAATTTTCTGTTCTTGGCAGTCATCTTAAAAACATTTGCGGGAGTGTATAGGGAAGAGGGAAGCTCATCAGTGGGGCCACAAGCTGAGAAAAGAAAAACATTTTCAGGGGCAGGGGAGGTGAGCCATTCAATTTTGAACACAGAGGAACCTACTAGATTGATTGTAGTGGTCCTACATAGAAGAGGTGGCCTGAGACATTCCTCAGAATGTGACATCAGTGCCTATTAAAAACTTCTCTGTGCGTGTAGTCGCAACCATAAACCAATACACTTACGAATCAGCCCCAGGGTATTCACTGAGCACAAGGCAAGTTATGCAGTAACAAAATAAGTTAAATAGACTCCAGACATTGTCCTCTAGGAATTAAAATGGAAAGCAGACACTGTTCTCACAAAGTAGCATACGGTTAATTCCAGATGAGTGCTTCCCTAAGCTGGCTGGCTATCAGAAACCCCTGGGGTGTTCTTAAAATATACATTCGCATATTACCACCCAGACTCAATGGGAATCCAGGGGTGAGGCTGAGTTGGGGATCTAGAAAATTATCCTCACTTTTATCAGTAATTTTATGATTTATCCTGGCTCCTTGATTTTTCCTACCGCTGTTTACCTTCTTACCATTTCTGCCTATTAGAAAATTGGGAGAAGCGAGGAGTCAAATTTGCTGCCTAGAAGTGGGGATAGCAGGCTGAACCACTGGCTAAAATGTGGTGCCTGGAGCTGCCACTGGGGCAGAGGAAAAAGTTAGAAAAATGGCAGCATGTAGCTTCGGGAATGGTGGAACGGGGGAGAACGTTCATTCCACAAATATTTATGGAGTACCTACCTGAAGATGCAAAAAGTACAGAGGCTAAAGATACAGAGATGAAAAGATCCATTACCTCTGCTCAAGGGGCTCACAGTCTAGGGGGATGGACTTGGAGTTGCGAGATGATATTGTGGTAAGTGCGTGCGAGAGTGATGCGTGGAATAGAGTGGGAGCCAAGGAAGGAGGCTCTGGGAGTTAGGTGAGGCTTTCCTGAGTTCAAGCTATGCTGTGACTTGAGGCACTTGATTAAGCAGATAGACAATGGTGGGGATGAAATGCTAGGTAGTGAGCCAGTGTGTACAGAAAGCACGGCCATGTGAACTAGAACGCAGTGGTGGCAGAGGGATGGCAAGTTGTTCGTTTTGGCTGTATCAGAGGGCATATATGGGAAGCATAGGAAATGAAGCTGGAGGAGGAGTCAGGGACCAACTCATGGAGGGCCTTGTGTGCTGCTAAGGAACTTAAATTTTATCTCGAAAACAGTAGGGAACTATTGAACAATTTTGAGCAGGGGAGTGCTATAATCAGATATTTGCATTAAGTCCTTTTGGTAATTGTGTGGACTGAATACTGGGGATACAGCTGGAGATGAAGAGATCAGCCAGAAGGCTGTGGCTATGCATCAAGGAAATTGAAGAGGGCTTCAAGTAGGCCAGTGGCAGAGGAATCAGATTAGCCCTTTCCCATTCTTTGCTGAGGGCTGCCAGGGTATGTAAAACTCAGCCACGTCATCACACCCCTTCATTTATTCAATAAGCACTGATGGAAGGCACCCTAATGCCAGATACGATGCTGGCCTGTTTGGTTGACTAGCAGCTAGCTGGGCCTTCTCAACTAGTATAGTTAAGCTTCCTGAAATTCTGTGTAACTGCTTCTTGAAATGTCAAGATATTAAACTAGAGATCTGGTATTAAACTTGCACATCTCTGAACTGACATTACTCAAGCTCGAACTCTCTATATTAGCTGTCACAAAGAGTTTCATGTTATTAAACTTCTTTATCATCCCACACTTGTCTTTCTTATCTAGACCAAATTCCACTTCAGTTGAGCTCTGAAACTAGACACCATTTCAAATGTGCTATCCTTCATAATTGACTGCAGTGCTTTACATAGTTTGAGCTCATTCATACTGACACTATGAAAGGATTTTCAATGAGGACGTCTTGTGAAAGGAGCCGGTGACAGACATTACATAAACAGACTGATAACACCTGAGGGGGCTGGAGGGCGCGTATGTGTGTGTTGGGAGGTATTTATCCTCAGACAGTGGGAAACTGAGGCCCATGAAGTAATGCTAAGAAGGAATGCTTATTTCATTAGACCCTGGAGTCCATGGGAGACCTACACCAGTGTCTAATGCTCTTAGTTCCTTACATCTTTGGAACGCCTCCACAAGAAAGGTTTTGCCCGAGTTGTCCAAGCCAACGAAGAGGATGGTTACATTCCTGGAAATGGAAAGGAAAAATGAGCCAAAGCCTTAAAAATCAGTTTTTCAGCTAAACAAAGAGTTTTACTCCTTAGTGTTTGGGACTCTGCCTGCAGTACTTACTCCCAATGCATGTACCATAAAAGGCCCAGCCAAGGTGGTAGAGGGTGGTGTGGGAACCCCTCCCCAAAGCCTCCAAGGATGCTTTTCTTCCCTCATTCACTTACGTTGTAGAATCGGCCATCATCTCTCAATCCTGGCCCCAATCTTGCAGACACTGCTTAATCACTTTCCCTAACAATATGTAATTATGAAGATTTGTCCCTTGAGGGACAGACACATGGGAGGAAATAGTGGCATGGGTCTAGGGAAAAATTGTCATACTACCTTGGTGCCTCCTCAGTTGTCCTTAGCCGAGACCAGCAAGAGGTTAGTAGTCGGATCATGATTCATGTTTCTTAAATGTTAAGGGAAGAAAGTAAATGAGAAATCAGTTGAGGGACGTGTGCATTGTTTTGGCTCTTATGAGTAATGCTCCTATAAACATTTGTATATAAGTTTCATTTCTTTTGGGTACATACCTAGTCATTGCTGGGTCATATGATAAATCTATGTTTAACCTTTTGAGGAGCTGCCGGACTGTTGTGCAAAGTGACTATAACATTCCCACCAGCAATGGAGGACGGTTCCAATTTCTCCACATCTTTGCCAACTGTTGTTTTTTTTTGTTTGTTTGTTTGTTTAGTTATAGCTATCCTAGTTGGTGTGAGTTAGGTATCTTACTGTAGTTTTGATTTACATTTCCTTAATAACTAATTACAGTTGGCCCTTGAATAACACAGGTTTGAACTGCATGGGTCCACTTATATGTGGATATTCCAGGGATGCAAAACCCATGTATACAGAGAACCGACTTTTCCTATATGTGGGTTCCGCAGGGCCGACTGCAGGGCTTGAGTATGCATGAACTTTGGTACATTTTTGTGTCCAGGAACCAGTTGCCCATATACTGAGGGATGACTGTATGTTGAAGCCCTGGTTGGATTAGCAAAGCCTTTCAGTCGATGCTTAGTTGGGCTTTGCTTAGCTATCTAATGAGCACAATTTATGTGCTAGCTTATTAATGGATAACTTAGCAGGGTTCTGCAGAGTCATCCAGTCATCCGCTGTTTTGGAAAATTGCCACTCGCAAATACATTTCACAGCATTTCTTAGAACATAGCTCGTTCCCTAGGAGATCATTAGACTTCCCATAAGGACCTCCTGGAGAATGGCTCTGGCTTATGCCAGACAAAAGGGAAACCTTATATGTAACCAAAATGTTTATACCCCCATAATATTTTGAAATAAAAAATAAATAAATAAATAAGTTTGTACACAAGCAAAAGGGAAACCTTATATATGGCCTGTGATCAAAACCAACCTTATTCCAGCTTTGCTCATGAAGCCGATAAGACCTGGAGCCTGAAACACCAGAGCCTAATTGTCTGAGTTCCATGATATCCATCTACCTTTGAGAGGAGGCCAGTAACAGCTTCATGTCTATTTCCTGATAACTGGCAGAGCTTCCTGGCTTGATCTTAGGCTCTCTGTATTTGTCAGTGCCACCAAGAAGGGTCAAATTGGCATCACACAAGTTCTTCCTTTACAAGGAAGGGCAGATAGGATAACCAAATGGGAAAACAACTAAACCAAGGATTACTGATCCTATCTTTTATTTCCAGTGCCTCTTCTGGGTAGCCTGAAGAGAAATCACCCAAATTAAACCTACCATTCTCAGGTATCTTATCTGTAAAATGAAGATAATGACCTATTTTGCTTACCTTGAGGTGGCTCTTTATCTGATAAAAACTTCGTTCTTTTTGGATGAAAGATGTAAAATGTATTGAGTAACAGGAAGGTAGATTGTGCTTTCTAGCCTTCTTGGCAGATTCACACAACTCAGTCCTTCACTTATAAAGGGTCTGGCAATTTCCTAACAATGGCTGTGAAGGTTCTGACATATCTATGGCAACCACAGCCTGGTTCATAACAACCAAATTCACATCTCCTTACCTTGTGTGATTACAGCTAACTACTAAATGAACTTTTAGTCATCACAGTTTTTTTTTTTATTTTACAAAATATTTATATAGAATTTACTGTGTGCCAGCGCTCATTTAAGCAGTTTACACGTATTAACTCATTTAATCCTTATTACAACATGACAGCGTAGGAACTATCATTCCTATTTTAAGAGATGAGGTTCACAGAGAGGCTAAGTAATTTGCTAAAAGTTACCCAGCTAGTAAGTGGTAAAGCCAGAATTCAAACCTAGGCGATCTGGCTTCAGAGTCTGTGTATTAGGTCAAAGGTCTCAACAGGCTGTGTGAGTGAGAAGACTTTAGGTACCAGAGAAACTGCCTCTGCTCTGGGCCTCTCTATCTCTTCTAGCCAAACTGTATCATACTTATTCTTTTTTAGTGAACTTTTTTTAAAAAATAAACTTTATTTTTTAGAATGGTTTGAGATATACAGAAAAATGGCAAAGATAGTCCAGAAAGTTCCCATATACCCCATACCCAGTTTCCCCTATTATTAACATCTCATGCTAGTGTGGTGCATTTGTTGTGATTAATGAACCAGTATTAATACATTATTATTAACTAAAGTCCATACTTTATTCATATTTCCTTAGTTTTTACCTAAGTTGTTCAGACTTTCTTTGTTTTTGATGACCTTGACAGGAGTACTGATCATTTTGTAGAATGCCCCTCATTTGGCATTTATCTGATGTTTTTCTCATAATTAGACTGAAGTTATGTATTCTTGGGAGGAAGACCATAGAGGTAACACGTAATTCTCATGAATCACATTGAGGATATGTGTTATCAACATTACTTATCACTGACGATGTTAAACCTTGATCACCTGGCCGAGGCAGTATTTGTCAGATTTCTCCTCTGTAAAGTTACTCCCCCTGCATTCCATACCACACTCTTTGGAAGGAAGTCACTATGCGTTGTCCACACATCAGCAATGGGGAATTATCTTCCACCTCCTTGAGGTGGAATATCTACATAAATTATTTGGAATTCTTCTGTGGGGGAGGGGATTTGTCTGTTCTTAACCATTTGTTTATTCATTTATTTATGCGATCATGGGTATTTTATACTCTGAATTATAATCCAATACTACTTTATTTTCTTGCTCAAATTGTTAAATTGTTCCAGCTTTGGCCTGGGAGCTCTTTCATTTGACTCCTCTCTTTCACATACTCCCATCATTGTGGAGTGGTTTTTTTTTTTTTTTTTAGTACTTCTTTATTTTTTGGCACTACAAGATGCTTCAGGCTCATCTTGTGTATTCCCTGCCTCAATCCTAGAATTAGCTATTTCTCCAAGGGATCCTTTTTGCTGGAGAAAGGTCACAGACACCAAATCTGGGCACTAGATGTGCTTGTTGCTGCTGGAGTGTCATTGCTTCTAGGCCCTCTCAGGTGACAGAACAAGGAAATATAAGTGTGTATGTATAAACATACATATGTATATAAATAGACATGTATATATACATATTTATAAATATTTATGTAACCATGTGTATCTATAGTTGACATTCCATATTCATGGCTTTGGCATCCACTGCTTCAACCAACTGTGGATGGAAAATATTCCAAAAAAATGAAAATAACAATACAACAATAAAAATAATATAAATAAAGACCAATACACTATAACAACTATTTACATAGCATTTACAGTGTGTTAGGTATTATAAATAATCTAGAGATGATTTAAAGTATTAATATATGGAAAGATGTGCGTAGGTTACATGCAAATACCATACCATTTTATGTAAGGGACTTGAGCATCTTCAGAGTTTGGTATCCACGGGGGGTCTTGAAACCATTCCCCTGTGAATACTGAGGGATGACTGGGTATTGAGCTAAATGTGACATCATACTGATGTCTTCAACTCCAATCTGTTATCATCACGTGAATCATTCTAGCCTTCTCCCTTTGCTTGGCTATAACCTCCCACTCCAACAGTGAGAAACCTGGCTTCCACCATCTGCTATCCATTTACTTAATTGTTCAATTCCAGTGTATATGTATAGCAGTATCAGAATTGTTAATACGGGGCTGGGCGCAGTGGCTCCCGCCTGTGATTCTAACACTGGGAGGCTGAGGCAGGAGGATCGCTTGAGATCAGGAGTTGGAGACCGGCCTGAGCAAGAGTGAGACCCCATCTCTACTAAAAATAGAAAGAAATTAGCTGGACAACTAAAAACATATAGAAAAAAAATTAGCCAGGCATGGTGGCGCATGCCTGTAGTCTCAGCTACTCGGGAGGCTGAGGCAGAAGGATTGCTTGAGCCCAGGAGTTTGAGGTTGCTGTGAGCTAGGCTGACGCCATGGCACTCTTGCCCAGGCAACAGAGCAAGACTCTGTCTCAAAAAAAAAGAATTGTTAATCCGTATGCCCCTATTGGAAACAACTTGATCAGCTGTAGTATGGTGCTGTGTATAGGTTTTTTTGCCTTTAGTCTTATACACTCCACTTATTTTCAAAGTTTTTTAGGTTATCATACTTACCCTAGCCCATTCAGTGAGATTGTTTCATGTATTTGTAATATACATACTGTGATGGTTAATTTTATGTGTCAACTTGACTGGGCCACAGGGTACCCACGTATTTGGTCAAACATCATTCTGGGTGTTTTTGTGAGGGTGTTTTTGGATAAGGTTAGCATCTAAATTGGTAGACTGAATAAAGCAGATTGCCCTTCCCAAAGTCAGTGTGTCAATCAGTTGAAGGCCTGAATAGAACTAAAAGGCTCCCCAAATAAGAAGATTCTTCCTGCCTGAGTGCCTTTGAACTGGGACATCAGCTTTTTTCCTGCTGTTGGACTTGAAACATCAGCTCTTCTTGGTCTCCAACCTGCTGGCCTTCAAACTGAACCTATACCATTTGCTCATCTGGTTCTCAGGGCTTCGAACTCAGATTGGAACTAAACCAATCAGCTCTCCTGGGTCTCTAGCTTGCCACTTCACTCTGCGGATCTTGGGACTTACCAGATTCCATAATCACATGAACCAATTCCTTATAATAAATCTCTTTATTTATCTATCTGTCTCTTCATCTATTATCTCACCTGTTGGTTATTTCTCTGGAGAACCCTGATTAATACACATATTTATTCTTCATGCCAAATTTTGAATTAGATCACAAATTAGGCCTTCAGCTAGGATGACTATACATACCTATTTGACCAGAACAGACCTGATGTCTGTTGTCCCCCAAGCCCATGGCCAAATTTGTATCCTGGCCTGTTTTCTTATGGTGTCTGGGCTAAGAATGGTTTTTACATTCTTGAAGAGTTAAAAAGAAAGCGAAGACTATGTGACAGAGACTTTATGTGGCCTCCAAAGCCTAAAATAGTTACTATCTGGCTCCTTTTAGAAAAA